TCAAGGTCTCATGAGAAAACGAAGGGTATGTATGAGCAACTTACCACAAGGATTTTGAAAGAGCTGTTTCCTTGCCCAGATTTCTTTGTATCTTCTTTAATAATCAATAATATTGTGATACATTCATTTATAAATAAAATAGAGCTTTTAATGAATACTGAGGATTTAAATAAACATCAATAGGCTTTGGGATTTATGAAAAAATGTAAATCAAAATGGAGGTCCTTTGGTTACTTAAATTAGACTATTATGGATTTCCTGATCTGGTAGACAAGGCAAGCCCGATCTCATCAGATCTGGGAAACTAAGTAGGGTTGGCCCTGGCTAGTATTTGGATGGGAATACCAAGGTTCTAATGTGGAGGCAGGCAATGGCAAACCACCTCTGAATGTCTCTTGCCTTGAAAATCCCACAAAATCAGGTGTGGCTTGATGACACTTTCCATCACTACTGAGTCAGAACATTGGAGTCCAAGATGTGGCTTCTTTTGTTTGAATGCACAGTTCTCAGACTAATACATTCCACAGAATCTGACATGGGCTCTTTCCACACAGATAATTTTCCTGGGTTTGATGCTGTTGGGAAATGGGTTTTTTGCCTTATTCCTAATAATATAGCAGTGCTTCCATGCACCATCTGCGTTTTCTCTGACTTTTCTGCCTTATTTCCCAAACCTGATTTGCTGTGATGTTTTGGAAAATATCTCAGCAAAGCCAGGCTGGCTGCTCTGTGGTTGGAAGTCTGGATTTCCCCAGTCCAGCCCACACAGCAGCCATTTCCCCTGCCACAGTTCCCACAACAGCCATTACTCCACACTCTCATGGCACCAGTGGGCATTTCTGACAGTTTTTTTAAAATAGGCTATAGGGATGCCAGCCTCCAGATAGGACCTGGAGATCCCCTGGAGTTACAGCTCGTCTCCAGACTACAGAGATAAACTGGAGAAAATGGATACTTTGAAAGGTGGACTGTATGGCAGTGTACCCCTCTGAGGTCCCTGTCCTCCCTAGCCTACCTAGACTCCATCCCCAAATCTCCAGGAGTTTTCTGACCTGGAGCTGGCAACCCTACCTCCCCACCCCTATACACACCAGTGGCTGGGAGGAGCTGTCAACCCTAGGTTATTGGCATATTGACAGAATGTTATATTACCAATTTTTTTTTAAAATGCAGAAAAAGAAGACCAGGACAGGGAGCTGTCTGGAAGCCCCACTGTTGTGCTACATGGTCAGCTGCAGTGACACTTGGGTTTCCAGAGGGAAGCATTGTCATGTGGAAAATGCCTTGGTAAATGCAAGTGAATCAATGACACCTTCTTAGCTGAAAAGTAGTTCCTAGAGTTATAAAGACCAGTAAAAAGGTATCATTTAGGAGTGCAGACTCTAATCTGGGAGAACCAGGTTTGATTCCCCACTCCTCCACATGCAGCCGCTGGTGTGACCTTGGGTCAGTCACAAGTTGTATCAGAGCTGTTCTTTCAGAAGCAGTCCTCAAAAGAGCTCTCTCAGCCCCACCTACATCACAGGGTGTCTGTTGTGGAAAGGCGAAGGGAAAGGGATTATAAACTGCTCTGAGACTCCTTCAGATAGTGAAGGGTGGGGTATAAATCCAATCTCCTCCTCCTCTCCTTTAATTCTAATTTAGAATTACAATTTCTGGCAGGAAAGCTGACAGAATTTAGGGTTTTAAAAATCACTGTTTGAGCTGATTGTTGTACATTTTAGCTTGAGGGTTCCTCAAACTCAGCTTTTTAAATAAATTTCTTTAGCCATAGATTTTTTTTTTGTCTAAACTGAGATTTACTGAAAGTTATGTAACAAAAACAAAGAACTAGACTTTTGAATCACATGAGCAGACTTATCCTCAAAACACAGTAATTCATCTCAAACGTGTCAGTACTAGAGGTCACACTGGAAACCCTCTAGCTAATCTGCTAAATCACGAACTAAAATGTCCTAGCCTTGAATTTAGAAGTTACCCAGATGTGCAGGAAGAATATATTGCCTCACTTAAAGATACAGGATGTTGCTTAATTCCCATAAAAACTGGGGTGAAAGATAGAACTTGGCAAAATTGTCTTTCCACAAGTTTGAAAAACAACAGTTCTCGCTAAAATGCTTCATGTATCACGGGCATTTTAGATATTCTGCAAATGCCTCAAATTTAATCAATTAAATATTACGGAATGCATCTGCAAAGCTAATATGTCATCTATTTGTTCCATTGGCCTAAGTAGACCTATATATCCATTTAACTCAAATCAGCTGCTTAAGCCTGTGGTTCCCAGATAACAGACATTCGCAGATACGGACAGCAATCCTAAACAGGTCTACTCAGAAGTAAGTCCCATTTTATTCAAAGGAATTTACTTCCAGAAAAATGCTTTTAGGATTGCAGCCTAAGTTAAATACCTGTAATACCATATAGCTAGCCTATCCTTGAAATTTTATCCAGATTACCTATTATCTGTCCTAGCAGGATATTCCAGTTTCTAATAATAACATACACAATTTATTGTGCTCTCTAGCTCTGAGGTTTTGGGCTTGCAATCTCATGAGCTTCTTGTGAGTTTCAGTACTCTTTTAAAAAAAAAATTGTACTACAAAAGACCTAGGACCATTCAGACATCACACTCAGCAGCAGTAGAAAGTAACAACATGCAAAAATCCATGTAATTGTTAGGCTTACACAGGCCCATAGCTATAGTGGGACATCTTGAGGCCGCCGCACCCTGACTTACCAACCAGACCTCCCAACTTTCCATCTAGCGAGGTTATTTTATTTTATTTTCCGCACGCACCATGGCCATGCCGAGCTGTTGCCCTGCTCTGCCTGCCAGCAGTGTACCGCTGGCTGGCTGCAGGCGAGGCACACCACAGGGCACATCTGCCCTCCAGCCCTCTCTCACTCACTTTTTAAAAACTTTGACTCTCTCATTGCTCCTGACACAGTGCCCCCCCAACTTATGTAAATGCCCCACCCTTGAAGTCAAAAACACTGGCCATGGCCCTGGGCTTACATGTGCACCTTTGTTGGATAGAGGACTGTGGTTAAAAAGTAACTCTTGTTACCCACCATGACTGTAGGCACACAGGTTAACCAGAGTTAGTTTTCCCATCATTAAACAGGATCCTAAACCTGAGAACTATCTGCAGAGAGGATCAGGCACTAGGAAGCATAGACCAGACTATGGGAGGTCTCGTTTGTGTAGTGAAGAGATGCTGATAATAAACTTTTATTGTTCTTTACATTTTGACTCAATCTCTTTATTACTCCAAGTAATAGTTGTGTAGATTAGAAGGACTATATTATATGATGGAAAGCATTCCTGAGAAGATGCAAAAGAAAGCAATTCTTAATTTGATTCCCTAAGAATGCCCGCATTGTACTATTAGACTGTGGCAAAAGATTCACACAAAAGCTCAAATTTAAACTGTCAGATTTTTGTTTTGTTCTATACCTATTCAGAGATATATGTTAGTTTTCTGAACAAATCCCCAGTTTCTCGGGGGGACAGGGGACAGAAGGCCATGTGAACGGGGAACTTCTAAAGAAATCAAATTGGATTTTCAATGCTTATTTTTAAAAATCAAAGTTTTGCACAGATTTTTAATTTTTTGTTGTTTTCACTTAGTGGTGAACTAATTTGTGCTTTGGATTCACTGCCATGAGGTAAGTTTTGTGTGAGCAAGAAGAATATGGAAATCACTGAGGAAGGAATAAAATTAACAAAGAAGATTTATTTACCTACAGGCTGTTTTAAAGAACAGTTCAGCAGCACAGGTCTCAGGCAATCTCAGGAGAAGCTTGACTGAGCCACTTAACCTAGTTATAACTTCATCTGAATTACTTTTAACGCTTGTGGTTGCCAGCAGGCTTTCCCTGCCTAGTCACCACTAGGTCGGATCCTTTCACACACACACATACAGAGGATCCCACCCACATCAGCCTGCCCTTTCCCAAAAATCAGACTACACAGTACAGAGACAGGCTTCACGGGTATACTGTCCTCTCTCACCAGTAGAGGTAAACCTCTCTACCACCTTACCAGACAGAACTATCCTTTAAACTGTCTGCTCTCCTGCTGAGGCAGACCCAAACTGACTATGGCTGCGCTTCCCTCCAGTCTTCCACACACACACACACCCCAAGGTGATTGGATGCTGGAGCAGTGTTTCCATAGGCTCGGCAGCAAAACGGCTGGTTGGCAGGAGCAGGATAGTCTCCTGTCTATCACATGGACCCAAATTTCCTTTGGCACAGGGCTAAAAACAAGCATTTATCAGAGCAGCTTGGTGCTTAATGACAAATCCCACAGAGAATTAAAATGGAAAGGAAATTTGTTTTCAAGCTTCTAAAGGGATTAAGATAAATAGCATGAAAATATTTAAAGCCAAAAAAATGTACTGAAAGAACTTTTATAATATAAAAGATTAACTGCATAGCATGGGGAAATACTTCAGTAACTCCAGCCAGCATCATAGATGAATGCATGGTGTTATAATAGCAGAAGTGGTTTGAATGTAGGACTATGGTTGTCTTTTTGCCTGTTTTTGAAAGTCTGCATTTCTCTAAAAACTGGACATTATCATGCCATACACAACCTTGTTTTTAAAGAACCAAATCTGGTTTTGAACAAATCTGTTGATGGTTTGGGCTTGATTTAATTACCACACCATAGCAAACTATGCACCTGTTTGTTCCAACTATTAGTCAAGGTGACACAGGAAGCGCTAACAGAGCCAATGTCGTTAGAATATTATTAATGCAGAAGTTAATAGTACTGTAGGTTAACTTTATGACCAATTAATCATGCAACACTTTCCACCAGAGGCACAATACTATACATGTCCATTTAAATTCCGAATGCCTCCTTCAATGACTGCCTTTAAGTTTTACTATAAATCAATAAGCTGTTGAGTTAAAATGAAACTAACAAGTTTGGGAGCAATGATTTAGTGTTCCAAAGCAGGGGCTGTACAGGGTGAGAACTCTCTTACCTCCATGGGAAATGCTTTAAAATTAACAGTGTGTTCAGAACCACGCTGATTTTCTCTGCCCCAGTGAAATCGAACATCATGCAGTTCAAATTCATGTCCCCGAGGTAATGGTCCTCCTGTTAGCACTGCAAAAGGACAAAAATTGCAGTGAGTGACATTTGTAGCCAGCAATTTTCTGAAAACTTTATGAACAGCAACACAATTCTTCCTCTTAAAGGTGCTTTCTACATGGATAGGCTTGGGCGGCATCCCTGTTGCTGGTGTGACTGCTGTTTTATTTGTGGCAATGAGGCTTCCACTTATCAGGTCTCCCCACATTCCCTGCCCCAGTCCCTCAGCAACAGCCACCCACCCACTAGATATTTTTATATCAATAAACAATAAACTAATGAAGAAAACCCCTTCAGCATTTCCCTGTCCCCTAACAGCACTCAATGGGGCAGGAGGGGGAAATGGGAGTGGTGAAATGGTGACCTTTTGACACTGCAGCATCACTTCTGGTGACATAACTGGAAGTGATGTCATCATGTCACAGGACCCTCCAGGAGTCACTTGAAACTCTTGCTTTTTATCAGAGTTTTGGGTGAACCCTACAGCATCCAGCAACATGGTGACATCTCTTCCAATTATGTAGCCAGAAGTGACGACATTAAAATCACTGTTAAGGTAAGTCCTACCACCACCAGACTCCCAAGGATTGCTAGCCAAGGGAATGTTTTCCTCCAATTTTCCTCTTGCAACCCTAGGGCCTTGCAGCCTATGCCTTTTGACTTAGAAGCAAATCCCACTGATTTCAGTGGAGTTTACACTCAGGTAACTGTGCATAGAGTTAAAATCTTTTGCTCTGTGGCTGCAAACTCCTTCCCAGGGCAAGGCTTTATTTTCTTCTTTCCAAGGTATCCTGCTGTATTATTTTATATTCCTGCTATATATATTTATTTACAAGGTAATACAAGGTAGAACAATGTCTCTTGGGTGTACATAGCCACACCATGGGCTCTTAAGTTTTTGTTTATTTTACAACCTGTAGTATATAAAATATATTGTGAAGAGGCTGAATATGATGGAAAATACCTATATTTAAACTTCATTATCCCAGTTGCTGATATTTTCTTAAGCAACTGTATTTTGGGAAGATAGCACTTTTTATGCCTATAAAATACAGAATGTCCTATGTTCTTAGAGCTCATGATATTCATTGTTAAGAGTCAAACCAGCAATATACTGTGCTTGCTAAGTATTAACTATTTGAAAAGCATTAGTACTGGTCTTCAGAAGGTTCCAGGGCACTAGATTTTCTTTTTCTTTGTTTAGTTCAGAAGGATACCATCATGTTTAAATGGGGGAAAGTAAATAAACTTATATGCATCCCGATTTTTATATTCATACTAGGAAAAAGGCCCGTTGTGGAAATAAATACAACGGCCTCTAGAAAGAGGCTCTGGGCGGGTGCCCCGGCCTTGGACATGCAGTGTCAATTTGCTGTGACGACCTCAGCAGGGTATAATGACACTGAGTCCACCATTTTCTCCAGAGAAACTGATCTCTGCTACGTAAAGAACAGTTGTAATTTGTGATCTCCAGTCCTCACCTGGAGATTGGCAACATTGGTTTCCCAGAAGGGAATGGTTGGTTTGGAGGGTGGAGTCTATGGCTTTGTACTTGTCCGAGATCCCATGCCTCCTGAAACCTCACCCTCTCCAGGCTCCATCCCTCACATCTCCAGGAATTTCCCACCTGGAGTTGGCAACCCTATCTCCTTCCCAGCCAATCATCAACCTACCTACCTTTATTTCCCTCTCACTCTTCTCCCTCACACCTGCAGCCTCTCCCGTGCTCTGAAGCCCTGACTGCTACGTCACATTGGCTGTCATACGGGGGCCACCTCAGCAGCATATAAGGATATAGAGCCCACCATTTTCTCCAGGGGAACTGATCTCTGCCATCTGGAAAGCAGTTGTAATTCTGAGTGATCTCCAGCCCTCACCTGGAGATTGGACACATTTTACCTCAGAACAGCAAACTGTTTAGAATGTTAGAGGGAAAAGCCAATCAAGTCGCATATGCAAACGACCTCTGTGTTCCGAGGCAAAGGCCAATGAGGCTGCATATGCAAATAACCTCTGTGTTCTGACTGGCTATGGGGCGGGGGAGAGGAACAGCAAACTGTTTAGAATGTTGGAGGCGAGACTCAAGCAATGCAGCCAGTGGATAGGGACAGATTCTGAGTGACAAGCCAGGGCACCAACCAATTCCAGAGCGTGTGGAATGTTCTAGAGTGTGGAATGTTCTAGAGAAGTGCCACCACCATTCGACTTTTATATATAAGGGAGATGTGCTTGAAATCTCAGCATCATTCTGAAAATATTATGTAAGAAAATAATACTGTAGATTACACTTTATCATTCAATAACCTAGTTTCCTTTCATTGTATTTGCTAAGATTTTTAAAATCTCCAATATCTGAATGCACAAAGGAAAGGACAAAGTGTAATTTCTACAACAAGCAAACACAAATAACAGGATTTTTCACAACAATTCAGCGTGGACCTACAGAACACAGCTCAACTTTTTAAAGCAATAAATGTGACTATGACCAAGAGTACAGTCCAGTACACAATAGGTATTGACACAGATTGCAGTGAGATATACTGACTCGATGGGACAGAAGAGAGAAAGTAAACATAATGATCCTTTAGCAGATAATCGGTTTAAAGGGCTTCTACTGCTAAAGCCTACAATGAGGAAGAGGTGAAGAGAACCCTTAAGCTGACTTCTCCGAAGACAGGATTCAGTCATGTGGCTGTAGTAGAAAGTGGGTGATGAAGTCTTCTCAGTATCAATGAGTAACTTATGAATTAGAATTGTACCTAGAATACACAGAGATAAGTTGCATGGGAAATGCAGGAGTCAAGCTAGGATGATACAAGCTTCCTCTAGTCTAGTGATAAGGAGTGATCACTTTGATCCTGTGGCACTTGCTATCTATCTAGGTGGGCTTCTCTATATTCCTCCATGATAGAAAAAGCAAATGTCACAGGGTAAAAAAGGTCTAATAGTTTAAACTCTTCTTTCAACAGTAGTTATTGGGGGAGGGGAGTTTAATTATGAGTAAGTTGTGGCAGAGCCACAACCTTCCCCATGTAAAATGGGACTATGAACTGCAGCATATATTTGGTCTGAGCAAGTGAACTAGAGGAAGTGAACACATATGAAAGCTATGACACCTAAGCCATGTAGTGTAGACGAATTCTAGGCATCAACTAGCAGAAGTCTTAGAGAGGAGTGGCTTTTAATTAGGTGGGCATGATAGACCCTGCAGTAAAAAAAAGAAAAGCAGGAAGGTGGAAACTGAGGGCAGACTGAATATTCCAGAACTTTCCCCTGATTTCTGATGACATGAGGTAAGATGTAATGAATAAGAAATTGAACTGTCACTGTGATGTAGAAGAGAGGTTTTAGTACAGCGTTTTATTTTAAATTCCTTATAGTTCATGTGTTATACTTTAAAACACTAAAATAAAACCCAACCCAAATTTTCAGGAAAGTAATGGGGGGGGGAATCTAAATAGAGGCCCCGGTCACACAGAAGGTTTTGGCCTGGGAGAGGGACGGATCGGGGGTGCAACAAACAGGAGCGATCTCACCGCAACATCTGGGAAGCAGCGCGCACCCATCCCCGATCCGTCCCTAAAGCCGGAAAACCCGCTGCAAAAAAGAACCACCTACAGAGGAGGACTTACCTGGAATGCCGCATCAAGCGTGGCCGTGGGAGCCGGATTGCTCGTCCGGAGCAATCCAGGCTCCTGGCTGAACTGCGCATGGGCACACATGCGCAGTTCGGCTGCCACACTCTTCCTTCAGTGGCTTCCCCCTGCCATCTGATCGTGCTGGGGAGGCACTGCACGGCGGCTCAGGGGATCTATGTGATCCCGTCGCCGCGTGTCTCTTTTGGAAGCTTTTTTGTGCGCGGGCCCCCCCCCCCCCCCGGTGTGGCAGGGGCTAGAGAATATCGATGCAATCTGTAAAGGAAGCAATAACACTAAATGAAGGGGAAAATGAAAGTCAAGCTTTACACTGTATGTGTAGAAGATTGACTATATCAACTTTTCTCCCAACTTCAGTGTTTGTTTCTTAGAGCTTGTATTAATAATATAATTTGTTCAGTGGGAAAGCTAGTGTGAAACATTTGGAGAAAAAATGTTGAGGTTTCTGGTCTTTACTACTTCCTGCGGAGGAGATTTTTCATAGTCTGAGGCAAAATGCCAATTCTCCTTGGATCCTGTGTATAAAAGCATCACCCCTTGAGGCAGACAGGCTTATTGCTTCTTCACAGTTCTTTCTTCCTTTGATAAAATCCTTCAGTGGAAAAAATGCCAAACTGAATAAAGAAGACTAACTAATTTATTGCAGCAGGAGTTTTTGTACACAAGGGCTTGCTTCATTGGGTGCTCATGCTGCAATGAATCAGATAGTCTTTAAGATGCTACAGGACCCTCCATCTTCTTTGCTGTAACCCACTAATAAGAATACTTCTGAGAAAGTGGATAAACTTTCTGTTTGGTGTCTTGTCTTTGCAGAATATGCACATCTCCACCTGTTGCTACACAAAATGCCTCTCTTCATTGCTGAAAGATTATTTGGAGTGAAGGTATAATTCTATCCAAATATCTTTCATGCTATACTCTCTCCTGAGATAGCAGACTTTTATATGAATGAGCAGTGCTAATTAAGGGTATGCATTCAGCATGAACGGAGCCAAAAAAGTACTAAAAAAATACCTTAGCAATATTTTGGGGGTATCATTTGATCAGCTACCGATGTAGTTGAGCCAATTGCCCCATCTGAACCAGCACAGTCCGGGGCAGTGGGGAGGACAGAATGCATGTAGCTCCATACAGACATATAATGGCACATTTCCCTACCACTCATTTTTTTTCCTTTTCAGGTCTATTGGATCCAAAAAAATATCCAGGATTTCTGAAAAATCCCAGATTCAAATATTATACTGGCATTATGATCCGGGATTTTTTGAGAAACCTAGGGTGATTTCCCACAAGCGTTGCTCCGCACTCACTCCTCCCTTTTGTCCAGATGGTACGTGTCAATTTCACATAAGCTGCTGCGTGGCCGCATTTTGCCCCGCAGCTTCGTGCAATTTTCCCCGCGTCTACTCAATCCTCAAAAAACAGGATTGAGTAGACGTGGGGAAAATCGCACAAAGCTGCGGAGCAAAATGCGGTCACGCAGCAGCTTGTGTGAAATTGACACGTACCATCGGGCCAAAGAGAAGAGTGAGCGCGGAGCAGCACTTGTGGGAAATCACCCCTGGTTTTTTTTCTATTCAATATACCTAAATTGGGGGGTGGGAAGAAAAAATTGCACACCCCTAGTGCTAATGAGACTGATATAATATGAGATTCAGTGTATAATGTGCCTAAAACAACTTCGTTTCTACTGAAAGACCCCAAGACACTAGCAGCAAAGTAATATAGTGATGTCCAGTTTTAAAGATCCTTAATTTCCAGATGTTGTAGTACTGGAGGCCACTTAAGACATTCACCAGATATGGGGGGAAAGAAGAATAAGTGACATGCTTCATCTCCACATACTTCTGGGTCACTTCCAAAGACAGATGATATATACAGATCCAAGGAAAGATGTGTATTCTACCTCTATATCAGTAGAACACAACACTTTGTCATTGAGATACATATGTGCCTCTTCCCTTTGCATCTGGCTGTGAAGTGAGAGGATGTGTAAGTCACTCATACCTCCTCTCCTGCGGCTTCTGAAGAATGCTTGAAGCAACCCTAAAACAGTGCACCAAACCTTTGTCAAAATCTGAGCTGCAAGTTCGTTATGTGAGATCTATCCACTGATAAATTTTCAGCCTCAAAATATTCTTCTAGCCAATTCTTCCCTCTTTTCTTCCAGCTGCTACATAGTATTTAGCAATAAAAGGCCAAGGATATGTTAAATGTTCCACTAGATAATTCTGAGTGCTGGCCTCATATATAGTAAGATATAGAGTTTTATTGTGATGGGAAACACGCCAAAATAGTAAGCTCTACATTATTTCAGAATGGGCTGGGCACATGAAAGGAAGTATGAAGGTAACACCTAGAACTTTATCCATCCTGTCACTGTCCCTGTTAATAACAAGCCCACTGCTGTGGACCAATTCTAGCATTACATTTCCCTCATTCATGAGCTGAAAACAAGGGAAGGAAAACATCTAGTTCTCAGGTTCTTTCCTACAAGATTATCTACTTTTGTAATATACAAAACCTGTTTTTAAAATGGAGGTGAATCTATGAACACATATTTTGAATAGTAAAACCATTGTGGACTCACCTCATTTTTGTTTTGCTACACTGACTGACCATCTTCCGTTTCCTGGGGGAGTTCTTCCATTCAAAAAATTAAATAAATAAATAAATAAATAAAGCTAATGAACCAATGTTAAATCAATGAAACCTGAGGGTGATACTTTCAAAACTTAAAAGACAGACAGCCTGTCCTGAGGTAGAGGACGGAGGTGCAAGACAGGGGAATCAATCAGCATTTAAATCACTTATAAGTATGCTCGCCAAAACATAAGAACATAACAGAAGCCAGTGTTGGATCAGGCCAGTGGCCCATCCAGTCCAACACTCTGTCACACAGTGGTCAAAAATACCAGGTGCCATCAGGAGGTCCAGCAGTGGGGACAGGACACTAGAAGCCCTCCCACTGTTGTCCCCACAAGCACCAAGAATACAGAGCATCACTTGCCCCAGAGTCCCTATCTATACCTTGTAGCTAATAGCCACTGATGGACCTCTGCTCCATATGTTTATCCAATTCCCTCTTGAAGCTGTCAATGCTTGTAGCCGCCACCACCTCCTGTGGCAATGAATTCCATGTGTTAATCACTCTTTGGGTGAAGAAGTACTTCTTTTCATCGGTTCTAACCTGACTGCTCAGCAATTTCATTGAGTGCCCACGAATTCTTGTATTGTGAGGAAGGGAGAAAAGTACTTCTTTCTCTGCCTGCTCTATCCCATGCATAATCTTATAAACCTCGGTCATGTCACCCCTCAGCCATCATTTCTCCAAGCTAAAGAGCCCCAAGCGCTTTAACCTTTCTTCATAGCGAAAGTGTTCCAACCCTTTTATCATTCTAGTTGCCCTTTTCTGCACTTTTTATAATGCTATATCCTTTTTGAGGTGTGGTGACCAGAACTGTACACAGTACTCCAAATGAGGACATACCATCGATTTATACAGGGGCATTATGATACTGACTGATCTGTTTTCAATTCCCTTCCTAATAATTCCGAGCATAGCAAAGGGGGGATTCATGCTGTTTCATGGTGGGGGAAAAAGGAACAATTCTTCTTTTAAAAAAAATGTCGGTATGCACCCTGAAAATAAAAGGAAGCGTTCAGGATTTCAAAAGTTAAAGCCTGGTTCAGACATTGCCCTCAGCAGTGATCCATTTGCACGGTGAAGGAGAAGGTTTGTGTCCGTTCTTTTCACTGTATTCCTTAGCCCTGACCTGGATAGCCCAGGCTAGCCTAATCTCATCAGATCTCAGAAACTAAGCAGGGTCAGCCTTGGCTAGTATTTGGAAGGGCTTTGGCTAGTATTTGGAGGGGTCGTGACCAATGTTCCCTCTAAACTGTGGAGTCTTGTGAGCAAAAATTCTACTTTTTGAGCTACTGGCATTAAAGTTGTGAGTGAGCCATTTGGCTATTATATAAATCAGTTTGCTTTAGAGCCCTCCTTCCTGAGCTAAGAAAAAAAGCTGTGAGCCAGAGGCTAAAAAAACTGTGAGCTAGCGCACACTAACTCAGCTTAGAGGGAACACTGGTCGTGATGCAGAGGCAGGCAATGGCAAACCACCTCTGAAATGCCTCTTGCCTTAAAAATAAGTCTAGCTTGCCACCTACTGGTGCATAACACTAAAAGAGCTAGAACTTTCTGGCTGCCAGACAATCTTATGATCTCCTGGCTATACGACACACAATGCCTGATGATGATTATTATTATTATACTGTATTCCTTAACTAATTTCGGAGGTGGGTGCTCCCCAGAGGAGGCCCATACACAAGAAAGCCCAGTTCATATGATCTGATATAAACACATGAACTGCTAATCTGTTTCTGGGCATAATTCAAAGTGTGGATATTTACCTTTAAAGCCCCAACTAATTAAAGCCAGTTTATCTTTGTGCCCACCTCTCAAGGTGAGATGGGTGATAACAGAAGACAGGGCTTGTCTAATGGCAGAGCCCTGTCTGTGGAATTATGTTTGAAAGTGCACCTGGTGCCTATGCTACTGTCAACAGTTTTATTTGCTTGAATTTTAAACTGAGCTTCTTCCTGATCATTTTATTGTTGATTTTACTGCCTCTATTGTTTTATATACAGTGATTTTTAATTGGCTGTTTTGATTATACTTACCTTGTGCTGTCTACTCTGACTGACAGCAGCTGTCCAGGGTTTCTGGGAGAGAAAGAAAGTTCCCAAAATCTGAGATGCTATGAATGCAACCAGAGATTTTCTGCATACAAAGTGTATGCTCTACCACTGGCTGAGCTGAAACCCTACCCTGACATCCTTTTTTCCACCACCCCTTTTAGAGGGAATAATCACAGAATGAGGATAATTTATGTATGAGTATTGAAGGACTACGGGAGGAAGCATGTAGTCACATGAACATTGGATTGGGTACTATATCTGCATAAATTCTAAGAGGGGGAAGTGTCCATATTTGGGAAACCTGATAACAGTGAGGTTAGCATGTTTTGGAAACCAGGGAAGAGGTAGGAATACCTGAACCATTATAAATGGAGCCAATTCATCCTCACTTAGCTGGTGGGAACTCTAGGAATTCATCCTGACCAACAACTTTTCCTCAGCCTTAGCCCTCATGGGGACAGTCACACTAACTTACAGTACAGGGTCCTTGCAAGGATTACTGAACAAATGTCTGAGAAATATTCTGACTACTCTATCAGAATATGGGAATGATTTTGACTACTTTCAGTACTGTATTTCAACACAATTAGTGGTAGTATTGCTGCTAATGCTGTGATGATGATGATGATGATGATGTGAAGGTCTAGACACATTCTTTTAAAAACCCATAAATTGGGAAAGCATACCTGATTTGGATTTTAAGAGGATCTGGACTGAGTGACCATCATTAATGACTTCACAGTCACGGCATACGACGTAGTTTGGTGATAAACGTACTTCCAGCAGTTTAGGGTCATATTTGGCTTCTCTTGAATTCAGATTAATAGGAGACTGGTATTCTCCATTAGCATCAGGAAAGACTAATCCCCACTCAACTCCTGAAAAAGAAATCAAATCATATTGGGATGAAATGAACAACAAACATATTTCTAAATCCTCACACCTTGTGGGTTGGAATGAAGATTTAGACCAATCACTGTACAGATAAAAGTTCCTAGAAAGTTCTAAAAAGATTCACTCAAATCATTCTGGTCCTTCCAACATGAAGCGAAGCAAAGCAAAGCTTAGGTGCACCATGTCAGAAATATCTGTACACCGGGGAGTACATTTGAGTAAAAAAATTCTTTAGCTCTTCAAGCAAATGACCCATTCTATGGAAGCACATAACCTCGTATTCACCAGCCAACCTGAGCTGGAGAGAAGGTTTCTTTTCAACCACAATCATGTCAACTATTAACACCCAAGTATATCTACATGGTTTTTGTTTGTTTTAGGAGAAATAGCCCTCGGTCACCATATCTCACAAACAATTAAGCAAGACTGTCATATTAAACATCATGACTCTGAGCCATACCCATTCCTTTAGCTATGTAGTGAAATACTGTTTGGATTATCAAAAGAGAGCGAGATTAGAAATCCCCTTAATTTGCCATGGTCTGTGCTCACTGGACAGTGAAAGAGCAACAAAAGCCATTTATCCCTCTCTCTCTCTCTCTCTCTCTCTGTGTGTGTGTGTGTACAGATGGTAGCACTGCCAGGTTCTCAGAGCAACAGTGTTTGAGTTTCAAATACTTCAAGGGAATGTGTAAATTATTTGCACAAAAGCTACTGTTTGCCTTACCTTTTGAAAGAGAGGACTAAATAGAGAATTGCCTCTATAGCTTGCACATTTTTTTTCTTCAATACAAAACATACACATTGTGAACCAGAGGCTAGCATAAATGGGATTAAAATTTGATATGCTCAAATGATACCTGAAACTAGGACAGTATTATCAAAATTCATTGATGGCCAAAATAAATGTGTACTTTACCTTCACACAACTTTCTCTGTCTCACACAAAGAAATGTCTCCCTCCTTCAGACCAGCTAGCAGCTCACAGACTCTTACCTTCCTCATAGCCCCACTCCACGGTCTCCTCTTTCTCAGGCAAGGGCTCAGATTCCTCAATGTAGCTCTTGTCAGCCATTAGCAAGCACTCAGCAGCTACTCTGTCCCTCTGAGCGCTCTGGGTCCCTCTGTGAGGCAGCTTTGCGGAAGTCTGTTCTCCTCCGACAGGCTCTGTGTGTGTGTGTGAGAGAGAGAGAGAGTCAGTGAGTGTATGAGAGGGGGGTGGCAGAGACTTGCTTTGCAGAGCAACTGAGCTTGTGACAGTGTATAACAAACATATACCGGAGTCAAGCTGATTGTATGTATTGCCTTTTAAGTATGAAGGAAATATGCATGCATTTTTGCCATGTGCTACTTGTTTCTAAATGCTGTGGTCTCTGAAATAGTTTCCACCCTGGTTAATAATATCCTATGTACAGTGAAACAGAATATGATAAAAACAGACCCAAACACTGCAGACAGACAAGCAGGCTACAAAGAAAAATAGATGTTTCAGGATAAGATACTAAAACTAGTATGTCCAACTGGGTGGGATGTGTATGTCTTTAGACCTGATATCAAGAACCATATTTTAAACAAACTGATAACAGAATTGTATGGTTGCATGTCCTAGTGCTGAGGAAGGGAAATTTTGAATTTTTGCTTTTACAGTATGGTGTCGGCTCACTGCTTTAATTTTTTATTTTGGTCCTGAAAGCACCAAATACTACTCTAGCTCCTGTAATACAAGAATGATCTTTTATTACTAGACTAGCTTTTGACTTTGTTTACATCTTGTTTTTTCACACCTGGCTGTAAAGATCTGTATAAACTGTTCTATTTCGTAGATGACTCTGGACCTGCAGCTCAGTTGACAACATTGTGGAGCGAGCATTTGGTGCGGTATAACCTGACAAGGGTGATACAAGATATTTATTTACTCTTAGTACCCTGCCTGTAGGTGATTTACACTGATAGAGATCTATGAACTTCATAAAACACTTCAAGTAAAACAGGGTTTAATATCAATAACCCCCCCAGAATTAAAATTAATATGTACAATAATATAACTCAACAAGCTTCAACATCATAAGCCCTAGAAAATCTATCTATCCACCACATTTTTATCCTGCCCTTCCTCCACGAGGTTACATGCATGGTTCTCCTTTTCCACATTATGTCCTCACAACAATCCTTTGAGGTATGTGAGGCTGAGTTAGAATGATTTGTCCAAAGTCATCCAGTGATCGGCCCAGACCTGGATAGCCCAGGCAAGCCCGATCTCATCAGATCTTGGAAGCTAAGTGGGGCTGACCCTGCAAGTAATCGGAAGGGAGACCTCGAAGGAATACCAGGGCTTGGGATGCAGAGGCAGGCTATCATGCCACCTCTCAGAAAAATGTCCAAGCCCCCAGTAGGGGGTCATCAGCAGTTGCCATGACCTCCAGGCATGTAAGCACATACACATGTTTGCGTGCGAGCATACACCCATACACACACAAATACCCACAAAATCATCCAGTGATTTTCATGACTCTGTGGCTCCCCTGGATTAACCACTGAGCAAAATAAGCACATCCTTTGGGTGCCAAGGGAAGGGGGGCATCACAGAGGGGTTTTTTGCTTATATTGCTTACTGCTATGTAGTGTTAAATAATTTTTTTAAAGTTTATATTTAACATAGTTGTGGGGTTTGGCCTGGGAGATGGCTTGGAAGAAAACTGAATTTTTAATCTCTTATTTTACCTTCAGCATTTATTGAATCTTAATGTCTTGTCAGTTAAGCAATGGAAGGGCCGAGGGGCACCATTGTTGGGCTGTGCTTAGGGCATCAATTGGCCTTAATCCGGCCCTGCTCTGTGGGGATCGCACAGTCCCAAATCCTAGACTAACTGCTACACCACTCTAGCCCTCTTCACCTGTTAGTAAAAAGAACCAATCTGCATTCACTTTACAAATGAAACGGGTGATCAGTACATTCAGCTTTATATGAGCATAACATGACAATTACTCAGCATATGTATTAAAAAAGTCAAGGGTGTACACAGTACACAGATTGTTCTGCATTTTCTGGAACTTGTGAACAGGAGTCCTTGTGAACACTGGAAGTACAGGAGAATTTCCAGACAGCAGTAAATAAAGTTGGGTATCCCCATACATCAGACTTAACAAACAGGTGAACCTAGCCTGACACACCAGTTGTCTCTATCTGCTTTCAGCAGACTAACATTAATGGATGTGAAGAATCAGATGAACTGGTCCTTGCCAAAAGACCTTTGTAACCCTTCGCATACATGGTAAAGATCATAAAAAGGATGATGCATTGGGCTATTTCACATTAGGCTTTTCTGCCTGTTTTTTACCCATTGGTTCTGGCCAATGTTCCCTCTAAGCTGTGGAATCTTGTGAGCAAAAATCCTCCTTTGTGAGCTACTGGCATTAAAGTTGTGAGCGAGCGATTTGGCTGCTGTATAAATTCGTTTGCTCTGGAGCCGTCCTTCCTGAGCTAAGACAAAAATCTGTGAGCTGGAGGCTAAAAAACTGTGAGCTAGCTCACACTAACTCAGCTTAGAGGGAACACTGGTTCTGGCCCCATAATGCTTCAATTTATCCCCTGATTAGGTTTAGCATATTCTCTGATTTCCCAGCTTTAATGTTTAAAAAAGTCTCTATCACCCTCTCTTGCAGAGATATGCCTTTTTCCTTATTTCTCCACACAGAAAAGAGCTAGAGACTTACTCTTTTTAAAATGAATATTGGAAATTCAGCCAACCTTCTAAACCTATCATTACAATGGTATATTGCAATAACAATATTTATTTATTTGTTGGTTGGTTTGTTTATTTAAACCATTTATTAGTTGCCTTTCTCCCTTGTGGAACATGACAGCTTATAATTAAAACTGAATGTTTAAAAAAACCAATTAAAATTATATGAATAAAACAACAATTATAAAAAACATAAAAGGTGATAATTTAAAAACACCATTTAGGACTGCCAATAAATAAAAACTAACTCAATCAAATGCAGTCCTAAATAAAACTGTCCAACTGCCTCTTAAGGATTGACAGTGAAAGGGCCAGGAACATCTCCATGGGGAGGTTGTTCCATAATTATAGGGCTACCAAAGGCCCTTCTTGTGTACCTACCAGAGAAGCTTCTTTTTTTTGGTGGGACAGTTAGGAGAGCCTCTCCCTGCAGTCTTAATTCCCAGACAGGAACATATGGGAGAAGATGGTCCTTCAGATACCCTGGCCCCAAACCATGCTGGGCATTACAGGACAAAACCAACACCCTGGGCGATTTCTCACTAGAGCTGCCTCGCAGCACAGCGCCATTTGCTCCGACACAAACATGTCAATTTCACACCCGAGGCTGCAGGACTGCATTTGACCCGCGGCTTCGCCCGATTTCCTCCGCAGTTTCATGATCCTCAACAACCAGGATCACGAAACTGCGGAGGAAATCGGGCGAAGCCCTGAGTCAAAATGCAGCTCCGGAGCTTCGGGTGTGAAATTGACATGTTTGTGTCGGGGCAAACGGCACTGTGCTGCGAGGCAGCTCTAGTGAGAAATCGCACTCTGAATCACCATTAAAGGTACAAGACGCCTTTTGTGTTACCGACCTGCCGATGCAAGAAGGTGCATCTGCTTCTTCTAAAACTTGATAAAAGTTGCTTGTGATTCCCACCCCTCCCACACACACACACACACCCCTCTGTTTTTGCTGTGATACAGGTTCTGAGTGACGCCGACTGTTTCGAGACTGCTACTATTATGCTGGCCCAGACGCCCATCATAGCCAGCGTCTATTACATCATCGGCGGCGCAAAGCCCAACGAAGGGATGGTCATCACGAGGAACCGAAAAGGACCGATTGATATTTGGCCATTGGACCCTTTGACTGGAGGGTAAGGAGCCATACGGGGGGATGTGTTTTGCAGGGGGAGCTTGTATTACTTGGTGGCTTTTAATCGAGGGCGGGAGCGCATCCGCCAGGAAAGGACTAGGTAGGTGAGGCCCTTTTGGAAGACTGGTCCGACCTGGGCGTCATGGTCCTTAGCAAGATCACACCACACAAACAAAGGCTTCTTGAAAGATAAGTGGTTTTATTGGTAGTCCATAACTAAAGAACTAGGAGCTGCGGTGGCTCAAGTGGTTAAGACGCTGAACCGGGAAGTGACGCGACCACGCCACTCTATGTTTTCCCCTCGGATGGTCATGGCCCCGCCCCCAGCATGCCCAGCGACGTTACGTCACTTCCAGGTAATGTGCATGTGGTGCACGCGTGCACTCCAGCCGCCAGCCGGGAGTTCCCCGCTGCGGATCAAAAAGCACTTGGCAACCCTAGTTCAGTTGTTGTTGGTAGTGGCTCCTAATCAAAGGCCTGGTGGAAGAGCTCCATTTTGCAGGCCCTGCAGAACTGTAAAAGTTCCCACAGGGCCCTGATGTCTTCCAGGAGCTCATTCTACCTGTATGGAGCCGCTACTGATAAGGCCTCGGCCCTGATAGAGGCCAGTCCAGGGAGGGCCAAACGATTTTGATACCCTGACCTCAGTGCTCTCTGGGGAACTGAACTATACTGAACAATATTTTGGTTCCATTTTTTAAAATGCAGATACCAGAAGAAGTGGTGTGGTTTGAAAGGGACATAGCACTTTACACACAGTTCATAAGCAGATGGATGATATAGCTGCTTCCCTCTTAGGCTTCCTCATGCAAAGACAGGCAGGCATTCAGGAGACTTGCATTGACCTTCCCCAATAGCCAGCTGTAGTCCCCACACCCCAGTAATGCTACCCTTCCCCCTCCCCAAGCAGCCTGGCATGAACCAGTGGAGGGCCCCCCCCACATTTTCTTTCCATTCCTAAGCATGTGTTCATTTTTTATCTTTTTTAAAAATTGTCCATGATATCAATATATTGACATAAGATGCACAAAAAATTAAATGGGGGGGGGACTGCAATGCCACCAGTGATGCAACTGATGATGGCATCACCCTCCCTTGAAAATCCATGTGTGGAACAAAATAAACTGACTTTACAACTGGGAGAACACAGACTTCTGGAAGAATGGTACCCAGACCGATTCCAGTGCTTGTGGATAAACTGCCAAGAAAATCAGGAGCTGAGTGTGTGGAAAAGCTCTAAG